CTCGTAGAGTACTTTTCCCCATTATACCAGGGATTATGTTTTTCCGGATATTTCCAGAATTCTGGATATTTTTTTCAACTTTTACTTTCTCCGAGTATCCAAAACATTTTGAATACAAGCAAGTTGAGGTATATATTTTTGAAATATATTTGTTTTTAAGGCTTTTTCACTCATCGTTCATTACAAAAATTTTGAAAAATTACGAAAAGTATCAAAAAAAAATTAGTAACAACTTAACTAAAAGTGAAAATAAGGGAAAAAAATTCCAGATTTTTTCCGAATATTTTATCCAAACAATTTTCCGGTTTTTTAAAATATGAATAAGATGATCTATGCATTTATATTATACATAGGGACTTTATAATAGGTTGTTCCTCTCGCCTAAAAGAATTTTTTTTCTTCTAAAGTCCATCAGCCTCCTTACATTTTTGTAAAAAAGTTAAACAAGTTTTAACCTCTTTATTAAAACTCAATTAGATAATAATACTCTACTACAATGTTACTATGGACACCTCAGCCCAAAGTTTATAATACATTGAATAAGAAAGTAATCAAAATAGATAAAGTTTGAACTTTGGAAACATTACCATGCATTACCATGGAGACCAAATTTTTAGTACAAATTTAGCTTTAACATAAAATTTTAACCATGAATAAATCGAAGCTGTAAGGTTTTACCTGTTAAGTTAAGTTTCATAAGTTGAAAAATGTTAATGTTTTACAACATCAACAGTTGTTTTAATATTGGACATAAGAATTTATTTACAAAAAATTTTACTACAAAAAATATTGCAATATTTTATCTATTTATTATTAGTATTTTGCTCTAAATTTTATATATTGTGAGTTGTTATCAGTTTTTCCATAAAAAGATCTCAAAAGCTCATATGCTACTGCACACCTTTAATGCTAAAGAATGAGGACAAAAGGTCATAGACATAAAAATTATTATTATTTGTTGTGTTATATATTGTTATTATTTGTTATAGTATATATTGTTGATTAGAATTATAATAATTTCATGATAGTTGTTCAAAAAGTTGTTGTTTTTATAGCGGACAAAAGTCTGGGCAAAGTATTCTAAAGATATTCTTAGTTACATTGAACGGCGTGCGCATCTGGGTGAGTTTATGTTAGTTTTCTTTTAATCACCCTTCCCCTTTTACAAATAAAAAGAAGCTATATTGCATATTTCAAGGCAAAAACTTGATTTAATCAAGTATATTTAACTTTCTTATTTCAACTGTAAAGAATTAAAATCATATTGAAGATATTGAATTAGTATTATTGTTGAAGAATTTTTTTTATTACAAAACTTTTTATTTTTTGAAATGATTTATTATATTTAATTTTTTTATATATATTTTTATTTTTACATTTTTTATATTTACTGTATTATTTTAAAAAAAAAATGTTTTTTTATGTAAAAAGTGTTTATTAGTGTAGTTTGAATTTTTTATAAAAAATAAGATATTCTATTGAAAATTAAATTATTTAAGTAATAATCATAATAATAATAATAATAATAATAATAATAACAATAATAATAATAATAGGAAAAACATTATAATGGTTTATGTTATTAAGTTATTAATATTATTCTAATATCAACTTAGCGTTATGGTTCAGACACTTGTGGATTTGTACTTTTGTGTCCCTTTGGTGAAAAAACTTTATTTAACTAGGACTTTTATTTTGAAATTTATGTAAGTGCAACTGTATGCAAGTGCAACTGTATGCAAGTGAATATAATAACAAAGCTTTCAGTACTTCAATAAAAGTTCTAAACTTTAAATGCTCAAAAACTTTTGCGTCAAAAGTATAATTAAACGTTTTTTGTCATTAGCTTTGATTAAGTTCTATTTGTTAAAGACTAATATATTAAAATTCAAAAACTTATTTAAAAATTAAAGTTATCAAAACTTGAAATGTTTGTTAAACTACCTTAGTGTCAAATATAATTATCTAACTAAAAGTTTTCACATATCTTCAATTCCATTAGGTTTGATAAAATTTTGTTTTTTAAAACTGTCAAAGGCTAAAAGAAACCCAACAAGTAGAATTGTAACAGAAAAATACATAATACTAAATAAACTCGACAAAGGAGAATTATCTATATCTATATCAAAGATATATGCAAATAATATAAAGCAACTGTTGTCTTGATGGTCAAACGAAAATTGCACAATACATTCAGAAGTTGATAAAAGCAAAACTTCTGTGGAAAGGATAGAGGATGCAAGTCTTCCTAAATGAGGATTTGGTGAAAGCATATTATATTTTCTAAGTCAAAGCTTTGCATTTTGCAAAAGAACTTGGTTGTTATGAATTTCAAGCATTTGATGGATGGGGTTAGATGGAAACAAAAATAATGTATTGTTTAAAACAACATTAGTTATTTTATCATTTAGTTAAATGATAAAATATCTGATGTTGTTTAAATTAATATTTAAAGATTATTCAGTCATTTGTTTTGAAAATCCTATTTGAAGTAGTAAGG